GATGGTTCAGGACTCACCCTTAGTTATGCTGCTATAGGCCTAGACTATCGGGGGGCTTCCAATGTTGCGTTGAGCTCCTCTCTTCTTCTCTAACTCCTGGTGGTGCCTACTGCCATGGTCCTGCTTGACAAACACTGCTAATGTTATTATTATAATAATAATAATAATAATAATTATTATTATTATTACAATAGCTCAACAAATGGAAACATGCTTCTTCAGGAAAGTGCTATGTGGATGGTGCAGATCGGCACAAACACACACAGCATTTAATTTGTAAAATACCAATAGAAATAAATAATTGAAATTGGTGAAGCTGTTTATATAATTGCATCAATCAACATCAATATTTTATCTGTATCTCAGAGTATAAATGCTCATATTACATAATTGACACAGCCATGTTTGCATTGTTATGCATTTGAATGGAAAAAGTTTATTTATATTTTGAGTGTTATTTATTTCCTTATTGCCAAAATAAGAAAGGAGGGCATGATAAAAAAAGTTAATTTTTTTTTATTTTTTTTTATTAGCATCCAGACTGAGAATCAAAGCCTCCACTTGCATCCAGAACCCCAAACTGCAGCTTTAATACTGAAGTGATCACCTACTGTCTCCATAACAACGCAGGGGGCTGATTCGGTAGATGGCCTCCGAGCCTGTCCTGTTGGTGTCCCCGATCACGATGTGGCTCACCGGTAGGTGGTCTTTATAGGAGAGGACTCCTGTGTCATTAGCCCTGTGATAGAAAAAGAGTCTAGATATAGGATTGCAGTCCTCCGCAGAGTAAACACATGAAAACAGAGCGATACATCACAATGCAGACAAGTGCCTGTGGGAAAATGCAAATGTAGCTCCCTAATGTGAAATCCCAGTGAGGACTGGCCGGGGTGAAGATTAACAGACAGTATGCAAAGAGATTCAGAGAGTGTAAGACACCAAAACTGTGGTACTCTGTGCTTGGAATGATGATTCTTTTGATCGTAATTTTAGTAATTTATGAACTGTAATTAATCATTTGGAAGCAAATATGAAATAGAATGCTTTAAGGTGAAAATAGTCTGTAATGTGTTTTATGAGTGTTTAATCTTAAATGGGTCCAATCTGGAGAAACATCCAGGTACTGTTTAGTTGCATAATGATCAAATACACAAAATTACTGTGTTTGCACTCACAGATTAATTTCATCCTGAAGCTTTGATGTTTTCTTGTTCGTTTTTCATTCTCAAGCTACTGTCATACAGTACATCACAGCCCTCCCTGTATAGATGCTTCACATCAATAGCCTTCCAGCAGCTCTCTCTTTCTCTGTTTCTCTCTCTGTCTATCTATCTATATACATACATATACTGTATGTACCCATACAGGGTACACAAAGCATAATGTAGTATATAAGGCTGCCCCGGATGCTTCAAAGCTTTGACACTGGCATAGTAATTGATGACAAAATCAGTAATCAAAACCTTTTTTGATGGATATCCCAAATAACAAAAAAAAAAAAAAATGAATCCATTATTATTTATTATGCATGAACATATACAGTTAGTTATTCTCAGACAAGGACATTTAACCAGCATACCAGTTACAACTACTTGCATGATGTTGAAAAAGTCTGGAATGAATTCGGAATTACAGTAATAACAAAATCCTGTAGTATAAGTAAATGAATGCAAGTTTGCCATTTTCTTCGCAATATAAAAAAAAAAAAAGGAAAATTCTACGTCCGCTTTATGACAGGAAGCTTCGGTATTTGGGACAGCCCTAGTAGTATACTGTAAATATTTTTTACTTTTTTCATTTTTTCTGAGATTTATGCATATTGCAGATTTTTTAATACTTTTGGTGAACTGACTGCAGTTTTGGTGGTTTGTAAAGGTTAATTCCAGCTTTGAAGGTTGAGAGTACTGTTTTATGTTTTTGTTGTTTATCTGTTACGTACCATGTGTCTATGTCAGCGTCGCAGTTGCAGAAGTAGTTCATGTCAATGCAGTTCTCCTCCAGGCTGCACGAGCACTGCTGGACCCCAGAAAGGAAGCCTCCCCAGTAGCTATGCCTCTCTCCTTCCTGGTCCACCCACCAGGACAACGGGCGGCCATCTGCAACCAAACACCACACAGTCAGAGAAATAGGCCAAGGTCCAGGATTTCACTGAAATAACACTACTGAACGCAAAATGCGGCGGCTGTGGCTCAGAGTCAGAG